ATAAAATTATCTGATGACAACATGACATAGATATGGCGCACACCATATAAAATTATCTGATGACAACATGACATAGATATGGTGCACACCATATAAAATTATCTGATGACAACATGACATAGATATGGCGCACACCATATAAAATTATCCGATGAGTTCAATAATTTCAACATGACATAGATATGGTGCACACCATATAAAATTATCTGATGACAACATGACATAGATATGGTGCACACCATATAAAATTATCTGATGACAACATGACATAGATATGGTGCACACCATATAAAATTATCTGATGACAACATGACATAGATATGGCGCACACCATATAAAATCATCTGATGACAACATGACATAGATATGGTGCACACCATATAAAATTATTTGATGAGTTCAATAATTTCAACATGACATAGATATGGCGCACACCATATAAACTTATCTGGTGAGTTCAATAATTTCAACATGACATAGATATGGTGCACACCATATAAAATTATTTGATGAGTTCAATAATTTCAACATGACATAGATATGGTGCACACCATATAAAATTATCTGATGACAACATGACATAGATATGGTGCACACCATATAAAATTATCTGATGATAACATGACATAGATATGGTGCACACCATATAAAATTATCTGATGACAACATGACATAGATATGGTGCACACCATATAAAATCATCTGATGACATGACATAGATATGGTGCACACCATATAAAATTATCTGATGACATGACATAGATATGGTGCACACCATATAAAATCATCTGATGACATGACATAGATATGGTGCACACCATATAAAATTATCTGATGACAACATGACATAGATATGGTGCACACCATATAAAATTATCTGATGACAACATGACATAGATATGGTGCACACCATATAAAATTATCTGATGAGTTCAATAAATTCAACATAAGTTTAGAATTCTATGTATTATCATATAATTCATATTTAAAAAGAAAGAAAAAAAACATGGAATTTAGAAAACATCGAGGTTGGCATGTTTCAACAGAAAGGATATATCACATGTATTTTAGTATCCTTGTGTTATGATAAATCATATAATTGAAGTGGGACTATGGTTAAAAATAAAGTAAGGAACACAAAGAATGAAGTAATTAGGATAAAGTGAACAACAAATCTGCATTAGATACAAACAGGGTTACAATTTACATGTTATCAGACCAGAACTTGTTGCAGGAGAGATAAGGCACAGGAAGATTTATAATACATGTATTGGTATATATATTCCCTTTGACACTTGATATTACAGGGGATATATGTACTTGTATACCCAGAAACAGAACACTTAGAGATAGTGATAAAAATTCTAGGATTTCCTGCTTATAGATATGCTAATCCCCACTCCCCAGTAATAGTGAATTATTAGTGGTCTTAGAAGTACTATTCTGTGACATTAAAGTAGATCATGTGATATTAAAGAGGAAATGATATTAGTAACAGGAAATACCAATATTAATGAGAAGGACAATGTCAGAGGGAAATGGAAATGATTAAATATATTTTATACACATGTACTTGACATTGGTCTAAAATATTTAGATATATTAAAATTATGAAATATATTGAATTATGGGACAGGTGCACTTTCCCATCTTGAATTTGACATTTCTTTGGATTTTCCCCAATGGCCTCGAGCTGCTAGGCTTCAAAATTCAAGCCCATAATTAGCATCACCGATGAGGCCTCAAAGGACTAAATAGCTGTAGGATGACGTTTGATGTATTGTTTTGCTCTACTGTAAATATGAATTTGTATTAAAAGGAAGGAATATTTCATTTACAAAGAATGAAAAATATTTCATTAAGGTTTCAGCAAATAATTATTATCATGCAATTGTTTGAAAAATGGGATGGATGTTTATTGAAGTTTAGTGAGAAACTGAAAAAAAATGTTAATTTAGAAATAGATTCTATGCATACTGGTTTATAGTAAGTAGAAAAGTTTGATAGTTTGATAGTTAGATTTTTTTACCAATACTGGTATAAATCTGGTACTTACACTATGTACTTACTGAACCAAGCTTTCTCATTGTTATTATAAGGAAGGTGTAATCATACAGTAAGATTATCAGGAGATACAGTGATTCTGTCAAACAATTGAAATAAAAATGATCATCAACTTGAGACTGGCCATTACATCATTCCCTATGCATATCATAAAAGAAAACGACACAACAATATATGAATGTACAGGATAATGATACAATATTTTCTTGCTTTGCTACTAAATTAAAACTGACTTTGATGGATTTTTGCTTGATAAAACAGACAATGCAATTGTACCACTGTATTACTAAATTCAAATATAACTACATTTACAGGTATAATAGATTCTGAATTAAGTACACCGTGAAGAATATAAAGTATATATTACAAGTGCTTGCAGTAGTTGGTATTTCTCTCATACAAATCATTTTTCACAAGTTACAAAAAAGCATTAAATTTAGCAGGTGATGTTTGTAACTTTAAAAAAAAATAATGAGAGTGGAGGAAGCACCATATATAACAAGCATGAGTTTGTGTGTCTATCTCCACAACAATTAGACAGTACAAACAACAAATCTGTCCTGTACTTAGGTGTGTTTTGTTAATGATAGCAGTTGAAAAGATTATTGGGATGACCTGAAGTAAAATGCCACTAAACAATAAGGAAAACTGGTAATTTCAGAATTTTCTGGTAATATAAGGATCTATCATAACAAATGATTAACAGATTTATTACAGTGAAACCTCGCTATTAAGACCACTTTGGGGACTGGACAAAAGTGGTCTTAATAGCGAGGTGGTCTTAATAGTGAGGTGGATCAGATTGACCACAAAGAACTGTAACTCTGTTTAAAATAAAGAGTATATATATCATTAAGTAATGTACATATATATTATTCAACAATAATAACTGATAATAATAAACTAAAATGTTGAATTTTATGAAATGCATTTAAAAAAGACAAAATTGCTGAATTGTCAGAAGAATAATTATTAATATATTCCTTAGTTAATATCATAATATACATGTATATTTACTATTATAAACATTGATTAAAGGAAACAAACAATCCATTTTAAGTTCAATTGGAATTTAACGTTAATTTTGCAACTATTTCACATAAATTTACGAACACATTTACTCAGTATTCGTAACAACTTTAATGAAGTCACTATAAAGTCTTTCAACGCTTCATTTTTCACATAAAATCGCAAACACATTATCTTTATCAGTGTATCACTCAGTACAACACATTTTTCTTTTTATTTATAAAAAAGAGTCCAGTGCACAATATTGCGAAGAGCTACGGATCTGGACAGCCTCCTCTTTCATACGTCCTGTTTACCGATCGCGATAACTCGTTTCGTTTCCGTGGTTTCGTCATTGCTTGATAAAGTTCATCGGAAAATGTGTCGTAAAAAAATTGGAACACATACACGTTTTTTTATTGTTCAAACGATATTGAGAGTGTAACATTGCTAAAAAAAGTTAAAAACCCTCGACAACGTGTGCGCGTGCAAGCCAAGGAATATCGGCCGAAACGACTGCATAATTCACTTTTGTGTATGCAGGGCTTCTAAGGTGTTTAACAGCATACCTACCGAACTATCAAAATATAATTAACAAACAACAGATCGCTATTAAAACGTGTCTAGCACGCGGTTTCGGACTGGTAGGCCAAGTTAATCCGATAATGATGTTTATTTCGTTTAACGCCACCTGGTGAAAGGGTCGGTAACCCGTGACGAAAACAATGGTCGTGAACGACGCACACGTTCGCGGTTCACTGCCCACCAGGTAAACTTTAATCACTGGTCAGACCGTGGTCGTAATGGTGAGGTCAATTATCGTTCATAAGTGGTCGTTGGGACTGTATAAAGTGGTCGTAATAGGGAATAGCGGGGTGGTCGTAATACTGAAGCGACCAATACAAAGATATATAGTGGAAAAAAACGGGACTGAAAAAAAGTGCCCGTAATAGCGGGGTGGTCGTAATTTTGAGGTGGTCGTTAGGTGAGGTTTCACTGTATCTTAAAAGCAATAAATTGATAGATGTATACATATAGTATAAAACAATAATCAATTACTTATTGCATGTTAAAATGTTTGGGAGGATGTCAGCACACTTCTGGTTAAAAGCCATGTGAGGCAATCAAAACGTGTTGTAAGTTTATACCACATGTGGTGTATACAACAGTTGTATAATGCATAATTTGTCTAATTAATTGAATAATAGCCACCTTTTGTGGTAGAAGTAGCATTTCATGAAAAGGTTTATCAATGAAACATTTCATTTCATCTATTGCTATGCATTTCAATAAAAAAAAATTTTAATTTTAGAAATTAAAAGAAAAAAAAAAGAAAAAAATTTAAATTCCAGTTAGCAAATGGAAACCATATGAAAGCAAGACAAGTATGCTAATACAATTGTCTCTTTGCTCTCCAATGTTGTGTTGGCCAGGCGGTTTTCAGTATTGAAAAACGGCCCCGTTGAGGAACCCTACCTCTCCTGGTTGTTGACTACCCCTTTCTCGGGCTCTACCCTGTTCGGGGGAGTGCTTCCTTCTGTACAGAAGGACATGAAGGAGGACTTGGTCGCCTCAGCACTTCTTGTGAAGAGGTTCCAGACTGAGAAAACCAGTGCCTCACAAGAAGAAGGCGAAGTCTTCGGCTGCTCAGCTTTCTGCGCAGCCCAAGTTCAAGCCTCACTTCAAGGGCAACAAGGGGAAGGGTAGGAAGGGTAAGAACCCTCCTGGGGGAAAGAAGAAGGGTTCCTGATGCCTTCAGCTCTTTGGCTGCGGCAGACCAATAACAAGGTCGGGTGTACGGCTGTCTTCCCATCTTAAGCTCTTGTCCCTGTCCCGCAGGATTAGGCTCCGGTTGGGCAGACGATTCGCTGGTTTGGCAGGGTCTAGATCCCTGTCCAGCCGATTTTCTTTCCTCAGGGGATGCGGAAATGGCTCGGGTGCTTCAGGAGGAAGTAGCGACCATGCTTGCCATGGGTGCGGTAGAGGAGGTTCCTATGTCGTAATGCACTCCCGGCTTCTACTCCAGAATGTTTCTGGTTCGGAAGAAGTTTGGTGCATGGTGTCCAATCATAGATCTCAGTGCCTTCAAAAGGCACAAAGATTCTCCTCACTTCAAGATGGAGACCCAACAGGGCATTATAGCCTCTGTAAGGGACAGAATGTTGGCAACTTCAATAGATCTACTTCCATATCCCCATCAAGAAGTTGGCACAGAAGTTCCTCTGTTTCACATGCAATGGCAGGGTCTTCCAATTCGGGGCCATGCCTTTTGGGCTCATGACAGCTCCTTTGGTTTTCACCAAGTTGCTGCAGGTGGTCGTGGGATTCCTTCACTCATGCGGAATAGATGTCCACATCTATTTCGACGACTCCCTCATGCCTCATTTCGTGAGGGAATCACTAGTGAAGGACACTAGTCTGGTCCTGAAAGTCTTGCTCAGAGTCGGCTTCATTCCTTCCAGAGAGAAGTCAAATTTTTCCCCATCTCAGGACTTTGTCTTCCTGGCGAACCGTTTTGACATGGTTCCACCTCTGGAGAAGTTCAAGAAGGCCAGGGCTCTGGCTCTGACCTTCATCGCTTGGTCGCATGTCCAGGTGCGTTAGTTCCTCAGTTTTCTGGGGTATCTCAACTCCCTGGCAGATGTGGTCCCCCTAAGGAGGCTTTACATCAGACCTCTCCAGATGTTCCTCCTGTCCAACTGGGTTCCGGCATCCAGGAAGTGGGAGGCCTGGATTCCTCTTACCAAGTCAGTCAGGGAGTTCGCTCACTCCATTCAGGAGAACGTTCTCTGTGTGGTGCCTCTGACCAAGTCTGTCCCCTCTATGACCCTGTTCACGGATGCATCCATGACAGGATGAGGGAGCTTACCTCGATGGGCAATGCTACTTGGAGGAGTGGTCTGGCGAACAGCTCTCGGAGCACATCAATGGTCGAGATGAGGGCTGTTCAACTGTCTCTGCAGTCCTTTCGGGGGATCCTGCAGTCCAAAGTGATTTGTATAGCTACCGACAACTCTACAGTTGTCGCGTATCTGTAGAGACAGGGGGCGCCAGGTCTCACGTCCTATGTGCCCTCTCCATCCGCATTCTTCTTCTCTGCTAAGAGATGCAGTTGACCATCGCAGTCAAGCATCTCTCTGGCAGGCTGAACGTGTTGGCGGACACTTCCCTAAACAACCAGCTGCCAACCTTTGTCTCTCCGGTCCCAGATCCAAAGGCTTGGGCCGTGGACGCCCTTTCTCTGCACTGGGACGGGATGCATTTGCATTCCCTCCCTCTAATATGGTTGGCAGGGTGCTGCAGAAGTTCTGGAAGCATCACTGCTCCTTGCTTCTGATAGCGTCTCTGTGGCCGAGGCAACCTTGGTTTTCCGGAGCTCTTGTCGTTTGCCCCTGGCTCTCCCCACCAGACTGAATCTTCTTCACCAGCCTCGGTCCAGAACGACACATTCTCGACCAGAGATCCTCCACCTTCACGCGTGGAGGCTATCTCTGGAAGCCTCGCCAAGGCAGGCTTTTCTTGAGAGGTGTCAGATCGCAGTGCAGGATCGATCAGGGTTTCCTCTTCTGCTGTCTACCAGACGCATTAGAAGATCTTCTGTGATTGGTGTGTCGGCAGGGAGGTTGATCCGTTAGACGCCTCTGTGCAGTTGATTGCGGATTTCCTAGTCTCCCTGTTTAGGGACCACGATCTGGCACCTGGCACTATGGCTGGCTATTGTACAGCTATTGCTTTTTATTGCAGGATGGAGATAGGTTCGTCCTCCTCTATTTCTGCCCTAATCAGGGTTTTCATGTAGTACCAGTTTTCATGAGGTAATACTTACCATAACTTTATGGAGTCCCACCCTATCCTCCCCTCTTCCTTATCTGCCTGGCTGCCCCTCTGTGGGGTGCTTTATAAAGGTTATTAGAGGAAGGGATATCACTCTTTGTTCCTGCCATGATGGCTCATGGATCGTAGGGGGGGTGGGATTATTTGAATCTTTTATTGTTGGGATACAAAGATGGGTGTAGGTACTGTATTTGCATACTAAAGCTATGGTAAGAATTACTTCATGAAAATTGATTTGCATGAAAAAACCTCACGTTTCACAATACTTTAATACAATAATGTAAGTAATGTTGTACTGTATTCATATGATAGTGTGATAGTGAGAAATCACATGAAATATAACTCAGTTAATATAATAGAAAGTGACAAAGGATATCTACGCTTGTCGAAGGATATCTACGCTTGTCGAAGGATATCTAACCTTGACCTCTTAGTGAAATATGATAAAGTTTCATTTTTATCAAATTTTAAATATATAGGTACTATAGTACATGTATGTGATAATGACACAACAGGTTTGACAGCTGCATTGAATAGATATAAATCTATTAGTGACTACTCATGTAGTTTTGGGACTTATTCAAGAAACTATGAAGAAAAATCACTTGTTTGACTATTTCAGGTACAGCTAGGTCTACTACAGAAAAACTGTTACGCCAGCAGATCCTTGCCCAGCGGATTAAAAATCGGGCTCAGGTAAATATTGATCTCTTTGTAAATGGTTGAAGACATTACAACTAAACTGCTGCTACTATAGGTTTCATGTATGATGCAAAATGTTGCATATCCATCAGAGTGTGTTGGATGATCTCTGTCAGTGTAAAAAGTGTGTGTCGGATGATCTCTGTCAGTATAAAAAGAGTGTGTTGGATGATCTCTGTCTATGTAAAAAGAGTGTGTTGGATGATCTCTGTCAGTGTAAAAAGTGTGTGTTGGATGATCTCCGTCAGTGTAAAAAGTGTGTGTTGGATGATCTCTGTCATTGTAAAAAGTTTGTGTTGGATGATCTCTGTCAGTGTAAAAAGAGTGTGTTGGATGATCTCTGTCAGTATAAAAAGTGTGTGTCGGATGATCTCTGTCAGTGTAAAAAGAGTGTGTTGGATGATCTCTGTCAGTGTAAAAAGTGTGTGTTGGATGATCTCTGTCTATGTAAAAAGTGTGTGTTGGATGATCTCTGTCAGTGTAAAAAGAGTGTGTTGGATGATCTCTGTCAGTGTAAAAAGAGTGTGTCGGATGATCTCTGTCAGTGTAAAAAGAGTGTGTTGGATGATCTCTGTCAGTGTAAAAAGTGTGTGTTGGATGATCTCTGTCTATGTAAAAAGTGTGTGTCGGATGATCTCTGTCAGTGTAAAAAGAGTGTGTTGGATGATCTCTGTCAGTGTAAAAAGAGTGTGTTGGATGATCTCTGTCAGTATAAAAAGTGTGTGTTGGATGATCTCTGTCAGTGTAAAAAGAGTGTGTTGGATGATCTCTGTCAGTGTAAAAAGTGTGTGTTGGATGATCTCTGTCTATGTAAAAAGTGTGTGTTGGATGATCTCTGTCTATGTAAAAAGAGTGTGTTGGATGATCTCTGTCAGTGTAAAAAGTGTGTGTTGGATGATCTCTGTCTATGTAAAAAGAGTGTGTTGGATGATCTCTGTCTATGTAAAAAGAGTGTGTTGGATGATCTCTGTCAGTGTAAAAAGAGTGTGTTGGATGATCTCTGTCAATGTAAAAAGAGTGTGCTGAAACATGTCTATTCAATATGTTGAACTACAATTGTGTATATCAATAATTAAAACACAAAATGAACAGATATATTGATGTAGAACTAAGGCATTGGATGAAAAGTGACCTATAAGACATGTCGTCAAACCGGTCTTTAAAGGTCACTCAAGGAAGCAGAGAAAACTGGCCTTTAAGAGAGGTGTCCTTTGTTAAGAGGTTCAATCACTGATTTTCTTTGCAAAACTGGTAGCCTTTATAGACAAGTTTTAGTGATATATGGATGACCTCTATAGGCAGGTATTAATTGTATACAGATGACCTCTATAGACAGGTATTAATTATATACAAATTTTCTTTATAGGCAATTATGAGCTATATATGGATGGTCTTATAGACAAGTATGAGTTATATATGGATGGCCTCTATAGACATGTATGAGTTATATATTGATGGCCTCTATAAACAGGTATTAATTATATACAAATTGTCTTTATAGGCAATTATGAGTTATATATGGATGGCCTCTATAGACATGTATGAGTTATATATTGATGGCCTCTATAAACAGGTATTAATTATATACAAATTTTCTTTATAGGCAATTATGAGCTAAATATGGATGGTCTCTATAAAAAGGTATTACTTATGTATGAATGGCCTTTATAGACAAGTATGAGTTATATATGGATGGCCTCTATAGACAGGTATTTATTATATACAAATGGCCTTTATAGACAAGTATGAGTTATATATGGATGGCCTCTATAGACAGGTATTTATTATATACAAATGGCCTTTATAGACAAGTATGAATTATATATGGATGGCCTCTATAGATAGTTATTGATTATATAAAAATGGCAAGTATAAAAAGGTATGAGTTATATATGGATGGTCTCTATAGACAGGTATAAATTATTAATGAATGGCCTTTATAGACAAGTATGAGATATATATGGATGGCCTCTATAGACAGGTATGATAATATACAGATGGCCTTTATAGACAAGTATGAGTTATATATGGATAGACTCTATAGACAGGTGTTAATTATATACAGATGGCCTGTATAGACAAGTATGAGCTATATATGGATGGCCTCTATGGACAGGTGTTAATTATATACAGATGGCTTTTATCGACAGTTATTAGTTTTGAATTTATTTATAATTAAGTGTTGTTCTGAGAACACCCTGAGAGTAAATATTTATCTTTATAGAAACTACAAAATGAATTGGTGGAGCAGCTAAGTATAGAGTTGGAACAATTACTTCAGGGTTTTGTCACAGAAGTAGAACACCTGGATCGCAATGGTGACGCCAATGACAACTACACATCATTTCCCTCCAAAGCAGAGTATGTAATGAGTCTCATCTATTGCTTTGATATGGGTGCATGTCAAAGTGTTGGCTGTTTTGATAAAGTGAAGAGGCATGAGAGTGTTTAAGTGTCTGTAAACATATGTAATATATATATAGGCCTACTGTGGTAGCAAAACTCATTGTAAAGTGTCTGAAAGCTTGATCAAATTGCTTCAGAAATAACAATGTTGTTTTAGTAGGGTTGTCCGCTTTTGTTTTATTTTACCAGGTGGATTACAAGTAGGTATACAAGGACTTCATTTTAAATAAATCAAGTAATTTAATCTTCTTCACTTATGAGCTATGTTTGCGTTGCGATGAGATTTAGAGCAAACTTGTATATATAAAGAAGTGATGAAGACTGGCATTTAATCAACATTCTGAAATATAAATAGCTGCCAAAGTAAACAGACCTCCAAAAACAGGTTGATATTGTATATTCATATATACGGTTGATTAACTTGAGCAGGAAGGAATGAATTATAGATTGCCAGTTTGAGTTTAGGTACATGTCCTCAACATAATACTCATCGCTTCTGTTGGTATAAAGGTGTTACTAGGATATGAGGGAGGCTCTCCTGCATAATAACAGATTTCATTTCAGTAATAATTACCATAACTTTAGTATGCAAATACGGTACCTACACCCATCTTTGTATCCCAGCAAAAAAAGATTCAAATAATCCCGCCCTCCCTATGATCCATGAGCCATCACGGCAGGACCATAGAGTGATCTCCCTTCCTCTTACCTTACTGGCTGCCGACGAGTGCGGAGGTGTCTGAGCTGAGTGCTTTCTTTACTCCTTCTCTTTGTACTGCTATTGTTGTCTGAGTATATTGTTACATGAAAAAACCTCAAAGTAAATTTAGTGCAGACTACAGCTGGTGTTATACAATACTAAAAACACAGATCAAGTCAATGGGATGTGTTATAGTAGATGTTTCTTTCACTGTATACAATTAATGATATAAGTAGGGATTTCATTTGTGTTTATTTTTAGCCCACATTATCAGATGGTGGGCTATTCAAATCATCTTACGTCTGTGGTCCGCCATCCATCCATTCATCCATAGTCCATCTGTTCCATCATATGTCCGGCGTCCATCTGTCTGTCCGTAAACAATTTTTGTTATCCTTATTTCTTAAGAAATACTGAATGGATCTCTTTCTAATTTCATACATATGTTCCTCTTGGTCTCTACTTGTGACCGTTTGATTTTGGGACTGATCGGAAAAAACAAAATGGCTTCCAGGTGACCATCTTATATTTTGCAGGTAAAGACTATCACATATATTTCTGCAAAGGAATTGTCAAATTTCTTATCATTGATCAAAAACAGAGAAGAGAAATGAGGGAAAAGATCCAAAGAGCAAATAAAGATCAAACAATAGTGGGTGCCAAGATCCTTCACGGATGTCCTGATCATAAAATTAATGACCAAATAAATTTTTTCACTTTTTTTACCTTTGTTATTGTAACTTAAAGGTTAGCCAATGAAAACTTGATGCCGGTAGCCCAGCAAGTATAAAGATTATCTTTTTCAAATATCCTAACTTGACCATTATCTACAGTAGCTTATATCCTGGTGATATGGTGAGATATGGCTATAAGCCTATACAAAGTTGATGTGTTTTGTTTGTGTTTGTTACAGCAGTATAACAGAGTGTGGAGCTGCTAAAGCTCACCACCAGTATGTATCAATAGTCTTCTGTGATTGGATAATGGTGATGTATCACTTAGGTTTCCAGAACATTTCTCTCAGCTTATCTCCTGTGTTTTCCAAACTGACAGCATGTACGTTTGAAATATTAACATATCAAGCATTATTTTCTGGTTATTAAATATGGGCTGATGATCTTACTGTAGATGTAGCACTGTGTAATAGTTTACTTAAACCTTGCGGATTTAGTCAGATGGTTTGCCTGTCTCTTTAGATTAAGCTTCTCTGTTTCTGATGTGTGGACAAATGCTAAATATTCTGCCATCAAAATCTGACCAAAATGAGTTTTAAGTTAGTGAGATCTTGATTTCTAGAATTTATGTGCCATGAAAGATTCTTTTAGGCTTATAGTCAGCCTAACCTGCAGGGACATGTCCTTGTTGGTTTTGTTCAACTAAAACATTTCTAACCTTTCCTTAGCTCTCTGACTCTAAATAAGCTAATCAAAGTTCTCAGAATAATTTCTGTACATAACGATGTACTTGGTTTAAACAACAGTGCTAAACAATTGATAGATGGTCTGTTATGTTTATTTAGATTTTGAAATTACGATTGGTTATAGATGATACTGAAAGCTTTATTGTATATTTTGAACTCAACCCTATTATGCAGTTCTATAAAAAGCAATCTCATCTATCTTTAGATAAAGTTTCAAGTACAATTTACATTTACTTTAGACCTCTCTTTAAATAAAGATTGTAGTACACACAATTTATTGTTAGCCTTGCTCTGTCTAAAATAGTTTTGATTACATATGTGATTTTATTAGCCTGTCTTCTCACACTTGTATTGATGAAAACACTTGTGTTTAAGAGACAAATTGATGCAATCATTTAGTGTATCGTAACTTGATATTGCCTTCCAAGCCCTACCCATCTAAACTTCACTAATACACTACCACTCTTTCTCACTGTTTTCAAAGTTCTTTAATCTTTATATCACTTCAGAGATTTGGTTTTGGTGTTTGTTCTTTAATAATTTACACACTGCTGGTATCTTTGGTAACAGTTTTCATTTTTTATTACTTTTCAATTTTAATGAAGTGTTTTGAAAGATAGCGCTTTGTTATTAATTTTCATAAAAGTTGAAGTCACATCGATGTCTGTGGACCGGAAGTTCAGACACATCGATGTCCGTGGACCAGAAGGTCAGACACATCGATGTCCGTGGACCAGAAGGTCAGACACATCGATGTCCGTGGACCAGAAGGTCAGACACATCGATGTCCGTGGACCAGAAGGTCAGACACATCGATGTCCGTGGACCAGAAGGTCAGACACATCGATGTCCGTGACCAGAAGGTCAGACACATCCATGTCCGTGGACCAGAAGGTCAGACACATCCATGTCCGTGGACCAGAAGGTCAGACACATCAATGTCTGTGTACTAGAAGGTCAGACACATCGATGTCTGTGGACTAGAAGGTCAGACACATCAATGTCTGTGGACCAGAAGGTCAGACACATCAATGTCTGTGGACAATCTCTGATATAACATACTAGAAGGTCAGACACATCAATGTCTGTGGACAATCTCTGATATAACATACTAGAAGGTCAGACACATCAATGTCTGTGGACAATCTCTGATATAACATACTAGAAGGTCAGACACATCAATGTCTGTGGACAATCTCTGATATCACTTATTAGAAGGTCAGACACATCAATGTCTGTGGACAATCTCTGATATCACTTACTAGAAGGTCAGACATATCAATGTCTGTGGACAATCTCTGATATAACATACTAGAAGGTCAGACACATCCATGTCTGTGGACAATCTCTGATATCACTTACTAGAAGGTCAGACACATCAATGTCTGTGGACAATCTCTGATATCACTTACTAGAAGGTCAGACACATCGATGTCTGTGGACAATCTCTGATATAACTTACTAGAAGGTCAGACACATCGATGTCTGTGGACAATCTCTGATATAACATACTAGAAGGTCAGACACATCAATGTCTGTGGACAATCTCTGATATAACATACTAGAAGGTCAGACACATCAATGTCTGTGGACAATCTCTGATATAACATACTAGAAGGTCAGACACATCAATGTCTGTGGACAATCTCTGATATCACTTATTAGAAGGTCAGACACATCAATGTCTGTGGACAATCTCTGATATCACTTACTAGAAGGTCAGACACATCAATGTCTGTGGACAATCTCTGATATAACATACTAGAAGGTCAGACACATCGATGTCTGTGGACAATCTCTGATATAACTTACTAGAAGGTCAGACATATCAATGTCTGTGGACAATCTCTGATATCACTTACTAGAAGGTCAGACACATCCATGTCTGTGGACAATCTCTGATATAACTTACTAGAAGGTCAGACACATCAATGTCTGTGGACAATCTCTGATATCACTTACTAGAAGGTCAGACACATCCATGTCTGTGGACAATCTCTGATATAACATACTAGAAGGTCAGACACATCAATGTCTGTGGACAATCTCTGATATAACTTACTAGATGGTCAGACACATCGATGTCTGTGGACAATCTCTGATATAACATACTAGAAGGTCAGACACATCAATGTCTGTGGACCAGAAGGTCAGACACATCAATGTCTGTGGACAATCTCTGATATAACTTACTAGAAGGTCAGACACATCGATGTCTGTGGACAATCTCTGATATAACTTACTAGAAGGTAAGACACATCGATGTCTGTGGACAATCTCTGATATAACTTACTAGAAGGTCAGACACATCAATGTCTGTGGACAATCTCTGATATCACTTACTAGAAGGTCAGACATATCAATGTCTGTGGACAATCTCTGATATCACTTACTAGAAGGTCAGACACATCAATGTCTGTGGACAATCTCTGATATAACTTACTAGAAGGTCAGACACATCGATGTCTGTGGACAATCTCTGATATAACTTACTAGAAGGTCAGACACATCGATGTCTGTGGACAATCTCTGATATCACTTATTAGAAGGTCAGACACATCAATGTCTGTGGACAATCTTTGATATAACTTACTAGAAGGTCAGACACATCGATGTCTGTGGACAATCTCTGATATAACTTACTAGAAGGTCAGACACATCAATGTCTGTGGACAATCTCTGATATCACTTACTAGAAGGTCAGACATATCAATGTCTGTGGACAATCTTTGATATAACTTACTAGAAGGTCAGACACATCGATGTCTGTGGACAATCTCTGATATAACTTACTAGAAGGTCAGACACATCAATGTCTGTGGACAATCTCTGATATCACTTACTAGAAGGTCAGACACATCAATGTCTGTGGACAATCTCTGATATCACTTATTAGAAGGTCAGACACATCAATGTCTGTGGACAATCTCTGATATCACTTACTAGAAGGTCAGTCAATGTCTGTGGACAATCTCTGATATCACTTACTAGAAGGTCAGACACATCCATGTCTGTGGACAATCTCTGATATAACTTACTAGAAGGTCAGACACATCAATGTCTGTGGACAATCTCTGATATCACTTACTAGAAGGTCAGACACATCCATGTCTGTGGACAATCTCTGATATAACATACTAGAAGGTCAGACACATCCATGTCTGTGGACAATCTCTGATATCACTTACTAGAAGGTCAGACACATCAATGTCTGTGGACAATCTCTGATATCACTTACTAGAAGGTCAGACACATCCATGTCTGTGGACAATCTCTGATATAACATACTAGAAGGTAAGACACATCGATGTCTGTGGACAATCTCTGATATAACATACTAGAAGGTCAGACACATCAATGTCTGTGGACAATCTCTGATATCACTTACTAGAAGGTAAGACACATCCATGTCTGTGGACAATCTCTGATATAACTTACTAGAAGGTCAGACACATCCATGTCTGTGGACAATCTCTGATATCACTTACTAGAAGGTCAGACACATCGATGTCTGTGGACAATCTCTGATATAACATACTAGAAGGTCAGACACATCAATGTCTGTGGACAATCTCTGATATAACATACTAGAAGGTCAGACACATCAATGTCTGTGGACAATCTCTGATATAACATACTAGAAGGTCAGACACATCAATGTCTGTGGACAATCTCTGATATAACATACTAGAAGGTCAGACACATCGATGTCTGTGGACAATCTCTGATATAACTTACTAGAAGGTCAGACACATACAGCACAGTCCTTTGCCAGATTATCCTGGTATGTTTTATTGCTTTATGTTAAGAATAGATTAGCTTAATTTAAAATCACGACCATGCTATATATGTTATCCCTGACCTAACCAGTCAAATGTTTATCATTGTGTTATATTGTTGTGGTGGGTTTCACACGTTTCTAACATTTATAACAAAACTGATGTTATTTATAGATATAACAGAGGTCACCTTTCATATTAAATTAAGGAATACACCCCCTAGATATCACCCAAGTGATCCTTGATATAACTACATGTAGGATCCATTCCAGTCTCCACAACCCCCACTCCCCGCCCCCTACCCCTAAAAAAATGGGAGATTTGCATCACATACAGAATACTGTATGCTAATACAGAGGAGAATTACATTCTTGAGTTCAAATCCTTCACCAATGATGATGCACATATGTGATAAAAATATTTCATCAGTGGAATAAATCAAACAGGATCTGGTGTAAGGAATATAAAGCATGTATTGATGTCCCAGTATAACAATGAGGTGACACATATTTGTTATTTATTTTTGTTATACACTTACAAATTTTTGAAACATTTTTGAAATATTGCTATAGAGGTATCCTTGCCTTACATTTTTGTCTTACATTTAAATCAAAGTAAAATTTTGTGACTATATTTCATAAAACATCATATTTTGAATTAGTGAATTTTGTTGTTTTGAAATACAAATTATGAACATTTCATATATATTTATTTCATTTGTTTTTCCAGAAAGAGACGCCAGAAAGGAGAATTGCCTGACAAAGTATTCCATATGCGCAGATCTATGCTAACGTATGTAACCTAAAAGGATAATCTGGATAGATATTCTAATGATAATATCTTGACCCCACACAATATAATTATAAAATATAATTTTGATCCCCTCCCCTCTGCATCATTGGGGGTGTTTTTACTTCCCATCTTACATAACTATGCACCACACACATTTCCTATTTGATGTCTTTACATCTGTTAAATGTTTAACTTATGTTTTTTTGTGTATATTAAAAACTCCGTTCAAATATTTTCAGTAAAGTTTTGAAATGCCTGTGTTTCCACAAATAATTAATCTACACACATATTACAAATTTGATGGGAAAAGTGTTATCTATAATTTGCCTTTAATTCACTTTTCCAAGACTCACCTTTTACGTAAAATATTGAACTATCAACAAATATAGACATTCCTACAAAATAGGAATTCAGTGTTGTATTTGTTTGTGGTTTTATGGTGTTTTCCGTTTTTTTATAGAGAGCTGTTTGAGATTAATCACATCCGAACAATCTATCATATCTTTGTGGCCATATTGATTGTGTTTAGCTTAAACACATTTGTGTATGATCTAGTCAATGAAGGAAGGTAAGTATAATGGTTAAGGTGATCATATATATAACTCTTTGTAACAGAGGTCAGTTATTTATTTCAATGCCTCCTTTAGGATTTTAAACCCGGGACCCTTGGCTCCCTTCTCTTAAAACTGATCCAAACTGATTGAGTTAAAGAGAAATTCTCTCTAGTGAAGTAGTAAGATGTGAATAGTATTTACCAGGCTTACATACTTCCACTTCAGGAAAGGAAGTTTACTTCAAGTTTCCTGGGATTACAGCAACGCTGAAGGGGCATGGCTAAATATTATTCCTTAGTCACCACAGGAGCCCCAATCTTACAGAGTTTATTTCACACCATTACTAAGATTTAAACCCAGAACTTCTGGCTTGCTAGTCTTATGCTCATCCGATCAAGCTGAAGAGAAGTTCTTTATAGCATGGCTGTATATTTTGACCAGTACTTATCAAGGTTACATATATTAGGCTTGTGTTTGAACAATTTAATTTAAAGAACATGTATAGAAAGTTTTTAATGATAAACCATACATACATCTAAATTATCAAGGTCAAGGTCACAATGAGAATTGAAATTGAAATCTTGAATTTATGTCCCGATTAAAACTACGGTATTTAAATGATGATGCATTATATACATGTTTATTTGGAGAAAATCAAAATCAGAAGAAGCTCTGCAGGTAGGGTATAAGAATGGTAGCCACTGACTTCATTGTATAATCAGAAAGGGCTGAGATAGCTGAATGGGGTGGAATGTTAGCCTTTATAATGTTGGGTGAAGATCCAAAGTGTGAAGTTTGACGTTCCAAACCCATGGTGGTTTGTGTCTCTCTGGTTGAGAAATGGCAAAACAGGCCTCCCATATGTTGTTCAGCGAGGTACAAGCTACTACAATGAGACCCTGTCTCAAAATGACCTTGGCTTTCAAAAGGTCTCCTATATGTTGTTCAGCGAGGTACCAGCTACTACAAGGAGACCCTGTCTCAAAATGACCTTGGCTTTCAAAAGGTCTCCTATATGTTGTTCAGCGAGGTACCAGCTTCTACAATGAGACCCTGTCTCAAAATGACCTTGGCTTTCAAAAGGTCTCCTATATGTTGTTCAGCGAGGTACCAGCTACTACAAGGAGACCCTGTCTCAAAATGACCTTGGCTTTCAAAAGGTCTCCTATATGTTGTTCAGCGAGGTACCAGCTTCTACAATGAGACCCTGTCTCAAAATGACCTTGGCTGTTCATGGGGAAATAAACACAGCAGACTACAACAAGCCTGATCATACGAGGTAAATAAACTAAGGATCTGTTTTTTTTCTCTCAAAACCTTTGTGAGGAAGTCTTTGTGATCTGTCCCCATGTTGAATCTTTAAAAAATGGCATTCACTTCTTCCTGTTGAATGCTCAGCATTGTGGCAGTGTAAAAACTGGTTTGCCTGTTGGCAGTATTACAGTGTGTTAGCACTATAAAGCCTACATCATTTCTGCATATCACAGCCTCCCACAAACACATTTAACACAGGTACTCACCTTTTACTCATAGGGAGGTTTTGTTTTTTACACACCCATCAAAGTTTTTTCAGTTATCTACACTTTTGTCACATTATGTGTTTTAGCCCAAAGTTTTGGCATGAATGTTCTGGCATCTGGCTGGATTCAGTTAAGAGAGTTGTTGGAAAGGGTCACACTGGCATTTCATGCATCTGATTGCAGTGCTCTTGTTCACAATGGCTGTTTACTGGACATTAAGCAACAGCAAACCAGGCAACAAAGGGTCAAAAGTCAACTGACTGCAATACTGGCTTGGAGTCTATTTCATATACTGCATTGTTAGCTCAAATTTGCTAGGTTTGTATATCCTACAAACATTAGGCAATATCTTTGTAATGTATTTTGAAAGTTTTGAAAGCTACTTCCCACATAATTTTAGGTCATCTGGCCGAAGGGTCTGATGACCTATTGCAATTGCCTTTTGTCTGGCGTCGTCCGGCATCCGTTGTACGTTGTCCGTTGTAAACATTTTCAACTTCTTCTCAAGTTCTACATGTCTCATTGAGCTGAAACTTACCTGAAATGATCGTGACATGATCCTGACCAAAGTTTGTTAATTTCGGGTTAGTCTGAAATCCAACCTGACCGCCATCTTGAAAACACATTTTCGACTTCTTCTCAAGTTCAAAATTTGAAATCTTGTATTTTATGTCAGATGACCGTTCAGGCCCATGGGCCTCTTGTTATTGGTTGGCTTCAATGCAAATCTGAATTTATTTTACAGACTAAACCTGGACTTTCGGTTGATGCAATGGGCACTCGGAAAATTTCCAAAAGTGATGGCTTTATGGGTGTGTATGACACTCAGCACCCTCGTCATAGTCTACCCAACATTTTACTACTGGGTGGTTACCCGGCCACCTGGCCCTGTCAGTGAGTATTAATCATAGTCTACCCAACATTTTACTACTGGGTGGTTACCCGGCCACCTGGCCCTGTCAGTGAGTATTAATCATAGTCTACCCAACATTTTACTACTGGTGACTACCCCAACACCACACCCTGGCAGTGTGTACTAGTCAGTCTGACCAGTGTTTTACTACTGGTGACTACCCCAACACCACACCCTGGCAGTGTGTGCTAGTCAGTCTGACCAGTGTTTTACTACTGGTGACTACCCCAACACCACACCCTGGCAGTGTGTACTAGTCAGTCTGACCAGTGTTTTACTACTGGTGACTACCCCAACACCACACCCTGGCAGTGTGTACTAGTCAGTCTGACCAGTGTTTTACTACTGGTGACTACCCCAACACCACACCCTGGCAGTGTGTACTAGTCAGTCTGACCAGTGTTTTACTACTGGTGACTACCCCAACACCACACCCTGGCAGTGTGTACTAGTCAGTCTGACCAGTGTTTTACTACTGGTGACTACCCCAACACCACACCCTGGCAGTGTGTACTAGTCAGTCTGACCAGTGTTTTACTACTGGTGACTACCCCAACATCCTATCACTGACAGTGAGTACTATACATGGATATTTATCTTCTATGTTTTATAGATAAGACAGATGTGGCAGCCCTGTTTCTGTTTGTGGTATATCAGATAGCTTTCCTGGTCTTACCAGTTCACTATATCATGGAGCACCAACTTCCGCCTGCTTCAGCCGTTATCATCACTACAGAACAGGTATGTTGTTACTACCGAACAGGTGTGTGGTTACTACAGAACAGGTGTGTGGTTACTACAGAACAGTTGTGTGGTTACTACAGAACAGGTGTGTTGTTACTACAGAACAGTTGTGTGGTTACTACAGAACAGTTGTGTGGTTACTACAGAACAGGTGTGTGGTTACTACAGAACAGGTGTGTGGTTACTACAGAACAGGTGTGTGGTTACTACAGAACAGTTGTGTGGTTACTACAGAACAGGTGTGTTGTTACTACAGAACAGGTGTGTGGTTACTACAGAACAGGTGTGTGGTTACTACAGAACAGGTTTGTGGCTACTACAGATCAGGTGTGTGGTTACTACAGAACAGGTGTGTGGTTACTACAGAACAGTTGTGTGGTTACTACAGAACAGGTGTGTGGTTACTACAGAACAGGTGTGTGGTTACTACAGAACAGGTGTGTGTACAGAACAGGTGTGGTTACTACAGAACAGGTGTGTGACTTACTACAGAACAGGTGTGTGGTCTACTACAGAACAGGTGTGTGGTTACCACAGAACAGGTGTGTGGTTACTACAGAACAGGTGTGTGGTTACTACAGAACAGGTGTGTGGTTACTACAGAACAGGTGTGTGGTTACTACAGATCAGGTGTGTGGTTACTACAGATCAGGTGTGTGGTTACTACAGAACAGGTGTGTGGTTACTACAGAACAGGTGTGTGGTTACTACAGAACAGGACAGGTGTGTGGTTACTACAGATCTACAGATCAGGTGTGTGGTTACTACAGATCAGGTGTGTGGTTACTACAGAACAGGTGTGTGGTTACTACAGAACAGGTGTGTGGTTACTACAGAACAGGTGTGTGGCTACTACAGAACAGGTGTGTTGTTACTACAGAACAGGTGTGTGGTTACTACAGAACAGGTGTGTGGCTACTACAGATCATGTTTGTGACTACTACAGAACAGGTGTGTTGTTACTACAGATCAGGTGTGTGGTTACTACAGATCAGGTGTGTGGCTACTACAGAACAGGTGTTTGGCAACTACAGAACAGGTGTGTGACTTCTACAGATCAGGTGTGTGGTTTCTACAGATCAGGTGTGTTGTTACTACAGATCAGGTGTGTGGTTACTACAGATCAGGTGTGTGGTTACTACAGATCAGGTGTGTGGCTACTACAGAACAGGTGTTTGGCTACTACAGATCAGGTGTGTGGCTACTACAGATCAGGTGTGTGGCTACTACAGAACAGGTGTTTGGCTACTACAGAACAGGTGTGTGGCTACTACAGATCAGGTGTGTGGTTACTACAGAACAGGTGTGTGGCTACTACAGAACAGGTGTGTGGTTACTACAGAACAGGTGTGTTATTACTACAGAACAGGTGTGTGGCTACTACAGTACAGGTGTGTGGCTACTGCAGAACAGGTGTGTGACTACTACAGAACAGGTGTGTGGTTACTACAGATCAGGTGTGTGGCTACTACAGAACAGGTGTTTGGCTACTACAGATCAGGTGTGTGGTTACTAAAGATCAGGTGTGTGACTTCTACAGATCAGGTGTGTGGCTACTAGAGAACAGGTGTTTGGCAACTACAGAACAGGTGTGTGGTTTCTACAAAACAGGTGTGTGGTTACTACAGATCAGGTGTGTGTGGTTACTACAGATCAGGTGTGTGGTTACTACAGAACAGGTGTGTGGTTACTAAAGATCAGGTGTGTGACTTCTACAGATCAGGTGTGTGGCTACTAGAGAACAGGTGTTTGGCAACTACAGAACAGGTGTGTGACTTCTACAGATCAGGTGTGTGGTAACTACAGAACAGGTGTGTGGTTTCTACAAAACAGGTGTGTGGTTACTACAGATCAGGTGTGTGGTTACTACAGAACAGGTGTGTGGTTACTACAGAACAGGTGTGTGGCTACTACAGAACAGGTGTGTGGTAGAACAGGTGTGTGGTTACTACAGAACAGGTGTGTGGTTACTACAGATCAGGTGTGTGGTTACTACAGAACAGGTGTGTGGTTACTACAGAACAGGTGTGTGGTTACTACAGAACAGGTGTGTGGTTACTACAGATCAGGTGTGTGGTTACTACAGATCAGGTGTGTGGTTACTACAGATCAGGTGTGTGGTTACTACAGATCAAGTGTTTCTATACAACAGAACAGGTGTGTGGTTACTACAGAGCAGGTGTGTGGTTACTACAGAACAGGTGTGTGGCTACTACAGTACAGGTGTGTGGCTACTACAGAACAGGTGTGTGGTTACTACAGATCAGGTGTGTGGCTACTACAGAACAGGTGTTTGGCTACTACAAATCAGGTGTTTGGCAACTACAGAACAGGTGTGTGACTTCTACAGATCAGGTGTGTGGTAACTACAGAACAGGTGTGTGGTTTCTACAAAACAGGTGTGTGGTTACTACAGATCAGGTGTGTGGTTACTACAGAACAGGTGTGTGGTTACTACAGAACAGGTGTGTGGCTACTACAAACAGGTGTGTGGTAGAACAGGTGTGTGGTTACTACAGAACAGGTGTGTGGTTACTACAGATCAGGTGTGTGGTTACTACAGATCAGGTGTGTAGTTACTACAGAACAGGTGTGTGGTTACTACAGAACAGTTGTGTGGTTACTACAGAACAGGTGTGCGGCTACTACAGAACAGGTGTGTGGCTACTACAGAACAGGTGTGTTGCGACTACCGAACAGGTGTGTGGTTACTACAAAACATGTGGGTGATTACTACAGTACAGGTGTGTGGCTACTACAGAACATGTGTGTGGTTACCACAGAACAGGTGTGTGGTTACCACAGAACAGTTTTGTGGTTACTACAGATCAGTTGTGTGGTTACTACAGAACAGGTGTGTGGTTACTACAGATCAGGTGTGTTGTTACTACAGAACAGTTGTGTGGTTACTACAGAACAGGTGTGTGGTTACTACAGATCAGGTGTGTGGTTACTACAGAACAGGTGTGTGGTTACTACAGAACATGTGTGTGGTTACTATAGAACATGTGTGTGGTTACTACAGATCAGGTGTGTGGTTACTACAGATCAGGTGTGTTGTTACTACAGAACAGGTGTGTGGTTACTACAGATCAGGTGTGTTGTTACTACAGATCAGGTGTGTGGTTACTACAGAACAGGTGTGTGGTTACTACAGATCAGGTGTGTGGTTACTACAGATCAGGTGTGTTGTTACTACAGATCAGGTGTGTGGTTACTACAGATCAGGTGTGTGGTTACTACAGATCAGGTGTGTGGTTACTACAGATCAGGTGTGTGGTTACTACAGATCAGGTGTGTTGTTACTACAGATCAGGTGTGTGGTTACTACAGAACAGGTGTGTGGTTACTACAGAACAGGTTTGTGCTTACTAGGAACAGATGAGTGGTTATTGTTTAAAAGGAATGGTTTTGTAGTAACTGTTAAGTTACATTAGTTCAGTGTGAAAGTTTTTTTTTAGAGAGAGTTCTAGAATGTTAAGATATGAGTTGTTTGTTAAAGTTAACATTGCTAAAAATATAGTTGCTAAACTTTCTTCCTCAGAATTATCTGGGATGAGAGTAAGAGATCAAATGATGACTTGGTGTTTATAGGTTTGTGGCTCCGTGGTCTGTCCGTCTGTCCGTAAACAATTCTTGTTACCGCAATTTCTGGAAAAGTCCTGGATGGATCTTTCTCAAATTTCATATGCAGGTTCCCCTTGGTCCCTAGTTGTGCATTGTACCTTTTTTGGATTGATTCGAATTCAAGATGGCCAACAGGCGGCCATCTTGTATTTTGGAAGTAAAAGCTTGTTACCAGTATTTCTGAGAAAATACTGGATGGATCTTTGTCAAATTTCATATGGAGCTTCCCCTTGGTCCCTAGTTGTGCATTTTACCTTTTTTGGACTGATTTGAATTCAAGATGGCCCACAGACGGCCATCTTGGATTTTGAAAGTAAAAGTTTGCTATCGCTATTTCTGGGAAAATACTTGATGGATCTTTCTCAAATTTCATATGCAGGTTCCCCTTGGTCCCTTATTTTGCATTTTACCTTTTTTGGACTGATCCGAAATCAAGATGGCTGACAGACAGCCATCTTGGATTTTGAGGGTAAAATCTTGTTACTGCTATTTCTGAGGAAGTACTGGATGGATCCTTCTGATATTTCATAGATATTGGTTTCTATTGGTCCCTAGTTGTGCATTTACCTTTTTTGGACTGATTTGAAATCAAGGTGGCCCACAGACAGCCATCTTGGTTGTCGACAAGCATATTTTCTTCGATATTCTATCATATTGATTCAAGACCATGTCCATTATCCACCTGTAACTGACTGCTATCTAATAATACTTTGGGATCTTTTTCAAATGATATTTGCTAATAGGTGCTTAACAAAAATATCTTGTGCCATCATTGAGCACATTCAATGAAGACCAGTTCATGAACATTCACAACACCTGTAACAAAAAAAAAAAAAATAAAAATAAACAAATCTTCAAGAACTGAAAACAGATCCTCAAATGGTGGGCACCAAGATCCCATTGGGATCTCTTGTTAGCGCTACTATCAAAGGCCAGGATAACTGGTGTCTTAGTCATCTGTCATGGTTGCCATGGCTGCTTATAGAGAATACTGTTATTGCTTCTATCATTGACCACATATAGTTTTAGCTAGAATTTAGATTCAACATGACAGAGAAAAAATTTCAGAAAACTTGTGTGACAATTTACTATACACATGATATTGAGTGGAATGTTCCATACAATAACTTGTCATCCTAAAGCCATTTTTATCTGGTGCCTCTGCAGACAGTACCAGTATTGTCTACCGTAATTGATGTCAGTAACTGTACAATTTTGTATGGACATATTCTGTGAGTATTAGTGTATCGACCATAATTGATGTCAGTAACTGTACAATTTTGTATGGACATACTCTGTGAGTATTAGTGTATCGACCATAATTGATGTCAGTAACTGTACAATTTTGTATGGACATACTCTGTGAGTATTAGTGTATCGACCATAATTGATGTCAGTAACTGTACAATTTTGTATGGACATACTCTGTGAGTATTAGTGTATCGACCATAATTGATGTCAGTAACTGTACAATTTTGTATGGACATACTCTGTGAGTATTTCAAGTGGTTGATGTGATGTTAAACATAAAATGACTGTTGCAGGTGCGGTTAATTATGAAGGTCCATGCTTTTGTGAGAGAGAACATTCCTAGAGTCTTAACTTCGTGTAAAAAAGGTGAGTGCCGAACAGATCACTGTGCTGTTATAGTACCATATAATGTAAATAAAATGCTGAACAGATCACTGTGCTGTTATAGTACCATATAATGTAAATAAAATGCCGAACAGATCACTGTGCTGTTATAGTACCATATAATGTAAATAAAATGCCGAACAGATCACTGTGCTGTTATAGTACCATATAATGTAAATAAAATGCCGAACAGATCACTGTGCTGTTATAGTACCATATAATGTAAATAAAATGCCGAACAGATCACTGTGCTGTTATAGTACCATATAATGTAAATAAAATGCCGAACAGATCACTGTGCTGTTATAGTACCATATAATGTAAATAAAATGCCGAACAGATCACTGTGCTGTTATAGTACCATATAATGTAAATAAAATGCCGAACAGATCACTGTGCTGTTATAGTACCATATAATGTAAATAAAATGCCGAACAGATCACTGTGCTGTTATAGTACCATATAATGTAAATAAAATGCCGAACAGATCACTGTGCTGTTATAGTACCATATAATGTAAATAAAATGCCGAACAGATCACTGTGCTGTTATAGTACCATATAATGTAAATAAAATGCCGAACAGATCACTGTGCTGTTATAGTACCATATAATGTAAATAAAATGCCGAACAGATCACTGTGCTGTTATAGTACCATATAATGTAAATAAAATGCCGAACAGATCACTGTGCTGTTATAGTACCATATAATGTAAATAAAATGCCGAACAGATCACTGTGCTGTTATAGTACCATATAATGTAAATAAAATGCCGAACAGATCACTGTGCTGTTATAGTACCATATAATGTAAATAAAATGCCGAACAGATCACTGTGCTGTTATAGTACCATATAATGTAAATAAAATGAACAATCACTGTGCTGTTATAGTACCATATAATGTAAATAAAATGCTGAACAGATCACTGTGCTGTTATAGTACCATATAATGTAAATAAAAAATGTCAAATTTGTTCATTCTTCAGAGAATTTTTGGGGCATACATGATGCAGAATTAGTGAAAAGTTGCTGGGAAACAAATCTTTTTATGAAACATACAATCCAGGTTTATATTGATTTTGTTGATGTTGAAAGGAAAATACATCATGGTCATGTGGTGTAATTAATTGGTGTCACTGGAACTAGCCTTTGGTTTTTGAACTTTAAAAATACCAACTTTTTATTTGGTCAACACCTGAATTAATCATCGGATGCATTTTCCCATTTTTCTGTCCAGAAACATCTGAAATACACTATTTACGTGTCACACATAAATGTTGGTATCTCTTCATTTCAATCCCATATAATATATATTGAGTCTTCTTTATACTACTCAGTAAAACAACACAAACAACTGTATCTTCTCTATACTACTCAGTAAAACAACACAAACAACTGTATCTTCTCTATACTACTCAGTAAAACAACACAAACAACTGTATCTTCTCTATACTACTCAGTAAAACAACACAAACAACTGTATCTTCTCTATACTACTCAGTAAAACAACACAAACAACTGTATGTTTGCATGTCTAGCGTGCTGCGTGCAGTCAGCGTTTAATGAGTACCAAACTTCATTTTTACAGGTTTACATTTACAATACCCCACTCTCACTCAGATACAATCCCGTTACATATACATAATGTACATACTTGAAGACAAATGAAATATTTAGTATACTGAATACCATATGATATTTTATATAGATAAAAAACTAACAATACCTCACTAACTCGAGCACCCTGAGACTGTACACTCCATCTGATCTCTCTCTGCATCTTATACAAACTTATACGCTCTTATAGCAACTAACAAAATTAGTTTTCTGAAAAAGAGACCTAGCGATCCACCCAACCTGAAAACCCTAATCAGGAAACACAGGAGGTGCACCACACCTGAATGCTTAGGTTTCATGTACTCTGGGATTTCACTTGGAACGGTTTTGCTTCTAACACTTCTGTCAAAAAATTATGTGTGCCTGCGACCAAACCGCGCTAGAAAAATGACGCCCCAGCTGGCAAACCCGAATTCATACACGCAAATACATGTGCCAACTCTCCGATTGGCTGAACGAAACACTACTACCGAACTCACTCGTAATTCCACCCCTGACTTATAATTACTGACAAGACAAACAGTTCCCGCTAACAGGTACTGACAAGACAAACAGTTCCCGCTAACAAGTACTGACAAGACAAACAGTTCCCGCTAAAAAGTACTGACAAGACAAACAGTTCCCGCTAAAAAGTACTGACAAGACAAACAGTTCCCACTAACAAGCACTGACAAGACAAACAGTTCCGGCTAACAAGCACTGACAAGACAAACAGTTCCCGCTAACAAGCACTGACAAGACAAACAGTTCCGGCTAACAAGCACTGACAAGACAAACAGTTCCGGCTAACAAGCACTGACAAGACAAACAGTTCCGGCTAACAAGCACTGACAAGACAAACAGTTCCGGCTAACAAGCACTGACAAGACAAACAGTTCCGGCTAACAAGCACTGACAAGACAAACAGTTCCGGCTAACAAGCACTGACAAGACAAACAGTTCCCGCTAACAAGCACTGACAAGACAAACAGTTCCCGCTAACAAGCACTGACAAGACAAACAGTTCCCGCTAACAAGCACTGACAAGACAAACAGTTCCCGCTAACAAGCACTGACAAGACAAACAGTTCCCGCTAACACAGTTCCCGCACTGACAAGACAAACAGTTTCCGCTAACAAGCACTGACAAGACAAACAGTTCCCGCTAACAAGCACTGACAAGACAAACAGTTCCCGCTAACAAGCACTGACAAGACAAACAGTTCCCGCTAACAAGCACTGACAAGACAAACAGTTCCCGCTAACAAGCACTGACAAGACAAACAGTTCCCGCTAATAAGTACTGACAAGACAAACAGTTTCCGCTAACAAGCACTGACAAGACAAACAGTTCCCGCTAACAAGCACTGACAAGACAAACAGTTCCCGCTAACAAGCACTGACAAGACAAACAGTTCCCGCTAATAAGTACTGACAAGACAAACAGTTTTCTCTAGTAAGTACTGATAAGACAAACAATTCCCGCTATGACTACGAAACGTGGGAATGTTTTATTATTGTTTTCTGTACAAATATAAAACAATGGCAGATTTGTAATATATATAAAAGCAAAATCACATGTTTCTATATGTTATTACTGATAACATTTATTTTTCAGTACAACAGATCAGGTGTTCACACTAAAAGACTAATTGTCCACACTTAGGAACTAACCATCCACACCTAGGGATTGATCCTACCAATAGAAATGGTCACACTTATATCACTTAATCTACTTTACAGATGATGGAGATGTTGCCATGAAAAGTAACCTTTGTCCAGATTTTTCCAAATATCTCTATTTCCTGTTTGCTCCAACGCTGGTATACAGGGATTCCTATCCCAGGTAATATTTCTCAATATTATTGTGTGGACATTTGGTAAACACTATCATTGATTTCAATTACTGAAGGAGCAGAATTTAATGCCATAAAAGAAATCAGACATTTTGAAATACTTAAATTTTTGTAGACAATTTTCCTGTTAATCACTGAAGTCTGCCTATATTCAGTATTGACATGCTAAGCCTTCTCAGGTAATTGCCAAAATGTTTCATTAACTGTTCACCCTAGCTGTATAGTTTGTGTGATTTGTTTAATCAGATGATCGGTAAATAGATAGTAAAGGTAAGACATTTTCTCTTGTTCGTTGTGTTTAACTTTGTAGGACAAAGACAATCCGTTGGAATTATGTGGTTACAAACTTCGCCCAAGTGCTGGCTTGCCTTCTTTATACTTACTACATCTTTGAGAGATTCTGTGTTCCATACTTCAACAACTTTAACAAGAACCATGTGACACCTAAGGCACTCCTCCTGTCTGTATTTGGGTGCATGCTTCCAGGCACTTTAGTGTTATTCATAGGTAAGCCACATGACATCTGTACAACTATTTATAGGCTAGTCATGTGACATATATACAGCTATTTAAAGGTAAGTCATGTGACATTGATACAACTATTTATAGACTAGTCATGTGACATATATACAACTGTTTATAACTGCTAAGAGCCAAAGCCTTCTGTCTAGCTTGTGATGTGTGTATCTAGATTGTGTATTGATGAAGTAAATTGGTGAAACTATTGATTACAGAAAAAACCCATTGACTGTATTTATTTTTCTTTAAAGCTTTCTTTGCCATCCTTCATTCCTGGCTCAATGCATTTGCAGAGATGCTGAAGTTTGGTGATCGGATGTTTTACAAGGTAAGGAAGAAGTGGCTATATTACATTGACGGGTCAAGTATAGATTACATAACAATTTCATGAATGTAATTATCTTAACAGTCGTTTTCTCTGTCAAAGTCACATACATTGAGATGAAACAGAAATCCTACAGAGATAGTTTGACAGGAGAAACCTTACTTAAAGTGAACATGACCATATGTGTTGTTTTTTTTTAAAATTTAAGTTCTGATTGTGATTGTGTTAAGGTTGAAAACGTTAACAACATAGGATTGACTTCCTTTTAACTGTTTACTAACAATGATCCCAAACCAGACACTAGAATGCTGTGGTATAATTTTATGATGAATTATGTTTTGATTAGGATTGGTGGAACTCAACAACATTTGCCAACTATTACAGAACGTGGAACATTGTGGTACATGACTGGCTGTATACCTACATCTATAAGGATTGTAATAGGGTAACATCTTCCTCTACTATCAATCATCTTTACAGCAGGACCATTGTAAAGAAAGATTCACCTGTCTTTAAAATGTTTGTTGACTGTTTACGTAGGACTTTCGGAGAAGCATTGAATGACTATACTTGGCATTCACTAGCAACATGAATGCAAGAAGGACAAAAAGGAAATTCAATATTTCGTAGTATCCAGTGTTAATTTCACCTATTACAAGTTATCCAACTTCACTGGGGTAAAGCCCTTTCTCTGTCAGAGTGTAAAGTGTAGTTTTCAAAGCTAACTGCTGTGTGTTTGGTGTATATCATATTTAGTTTTATGAAATTGCATCCTTTGAGAAGAGTGAAAACAGTGAAAAGGGAAGGTCTTATTGATAAATAATACTGTAAACGTAATTCTACATGTGGAAATTACACAAAATGGTCGACATCAGCTGGTGTTTCATTGGTACGCTATTTAATGACTAAAACATATATCATATGTGTTTTTTAAGCTTTTCCAGAGGTCTTAAAATACTTATTAATCATACTACATGTTTATCATATATAGCTGATGGGTTCGCGGAATCGTGCTGGCGCGATGGCCCTAGTCTTCCTGATCTCGGCCGTGGTACACGAATACATCCTAACTGTGTGCTTCAGCTTTTTCTACCCAGTCCTCTTTGTCATGTTCATGGGAGCTGGCTGTAAGTATTCTAACTTTTCATTGGTTTATAAATACAGACTTAAAGTAATACAATGTAGTTGTTATCTTTTTATGGGTGTAACAAAAACAATTTTTACCACGGGAAACGATTTCCTGCAAATACAGTTTAAATAACAATGTTATTCAAAGCAAACTGATTTTTCCCTCGTTATTCACATATTAATAAAATCATTCAAGCGATGTGATTTTTGAAAACATTTCTGCAATTAATGAAGATATTATTTTGTTTTCAGTTTCTTTCATCTTTGTGACGGACAAAGGAGTTTCTCGTAGCTGGAATGTATTTCTGTGGGTGGCTCTTTTTATAGGGAATGGTCTGCTAATGTGTCTCTATAGTATGGAGTGGTACGCCAGGATCAACTGTCCTGTTAACACTGTAAGTACAGCGGATCATGCAGAGTACAATTTTCCTGTTTTCTGCAGAAAACTTGATCAATATATTACATACAGCTATTCTAGAATGTTTGATAAAAGTCCAAATGAAATCATCAGAAACTAAGAGTATGTTAATTTATACTATGATGATCTCATTAATATAATAACATGGTGATATTAACTGTCGTGACATTATCAGGTAAGTAGTTTCCAATCTCATTAATATAATAACATGGTGATATTAACTGACGTGACATTATCAGATAAGTAGTTTCCAATCTCATTAATATAATAACATGGTGATATTAACTGACATGACATTATCAGGTAAGTAGTTTCCACTGTATATAATAGGTATCTGTAATGCTTTAACTTCAGCATTCTCTATCATAAACGGCCAGATATATAGAAATGTTGAGAGGTTTTACTTTGTTTGTTACAGGATAACTTCTTGGACTATATAATCCCACGGTCATGGACTTGCATGATTTGAAATAAAAGAACAACAACAGGACAGAAGTAATGCATGGGAAGGACATACTTATGCCTAAAGTCGATTTCTGCTGACATCATTAAGTTATTGTTTTTCTGAGACCAGGGTGTGACATATTTAAATCTGATTATTTTTCTGGGACCAGGCTTTGATGTGAGGAAGAATATCTTTTTGTGGGACCAGATTATCTATGATTGTACAGGTCGAGTGCACTTTGTTGTCTACAGAACATATTTACTGGTTACATTTACTGGGAAGTTTTGATAGGTGTTTTGATTCAGGTTTGACTTAATCATAGTGCTTATATCATCCTTCATATGTTTTCTGTCATTCTGAAAGCAGTCCCATTATAGAACAAAAATGATATTAAAGATTTCAAATGCAATAACACTTCGTGGAATGCCTTTGCAAAGGAACCTTGTCATTATATTTATTATGTTTCTGATAGCTGTGTTGAATCATTTGTAAGTGACTCATCGTGTAATTGAGATTTTGCTGTCTCTTATCTTTCCGTGGAAAAGGAATAATCTAGATAGACATGGCCCTAAAAGAGTTCCTATGCTAAAATTTATTATCTATTCTATCACATGATCAATTATTGTGGCATATTTTGCAGAATACCTTCTTTTCTATGTCATTCTTGAAGTGGTCTTGACTCTATATCAATGGAGTGTCCCTTATGATGTCACAATGTTGTCTGTGTGACATCAGTCCAGTATCTTATCTAGCAGTCATAAATGACCATTGGCCTTTTATGGGGACAAATTGGTTAATTGACACTTTAAATGAAGCATTTCAAGTATAAATTGGGAAAGACCTACAATTGTCAGAAAGATCAGCTCTTATTTTTGTAAAAGTATGCAAAAGTGTTATAAGGATAAATCCTCCAAAATCATGTGATAGAAATTAATGAATGTTTTTCATATGTATCCATATTCTGAAGTTGTACTCCATTATAGGTAGATAAGTTTTGATCAAATTGATGGAAGTTTTATAATTATCTCCCTTTGGTCAACTGTATGTTTGTGATCAGTGTGTAAGCTCAAGACTTACGTATAAAATAATTCCATCACCTCAGGTCATTTATGTTATGATTTTCATGTACTTAGACTTTTCAGCATTTCAGTATGAAATATTAAGCAACATCAGTAAACTATTGAAAATTCTTGTCTTTTCTAAACGTAAAATGTTATCAACAGAGGCCTGTATTGTTGTATTCCTTGAGAGTACGTAGCACCTGAAGGCCCAAAGACTTGTATTTTTACAAGGATTTTTGTAGTTATTTTTTCCTATAGTCTTCCATCTTACCAAATATATTATTCAGACTCAATGCTCCTGATAATTTTATTTGTAAGTGCTGCAAAGTTCAAGTACAGAATACTGATATAATCTGTCTCAGGCCAAGTGCCCAAATGTTGTGAAAATATCTGAAGATAAAAAAAATGGAATTCATGCTGTATCTTTTTGTCATAATGTTTTAAACCATATCATTTCTGAGATGTAGCCTTACTATAATAGTATGACAGCAGGATACTATGACCGTGTCTGTAAAACTAGAGGTTATAGCTGGTTAAGATTCAAACTTCTCCTTTTGAAATGATATGATTCTCCAACATGTGATTTCTTGTATTTGTTTTGATAGTCAATATAGGTTAGAAATACATATATGATCTATATACTGGTGCCAAAATTGTGTGCAAATATCTATATTTTGATATGTTCGTGTTTGAATGCATCAATACTATCAATATATGATACTCAGAAATGTTATTATACAAATTATTCTCTATCATTTGATTCGATCATTACCAGAAAAATAATCTATCAAATAAATAATCTCTTAAACAATTGGGATCACTAAAGTGTCAACTTAGTTACTAATGACATTTAACTAAACATGCAAGGACAATTTTCAAAGTTGTATAAAAATTTGTTGTATACAAATAATTTTTTAACAGTTTATCAAATTGAAATACTCCAGTTTGTTTATAAATAGATATTTCAACAGTGTGTTTGTTGTTACCCATACCTGTCTCTTTTGACATGTCTCTTAGCTACCGTTTGTTGTTAAGATTGTAGAAAACTCCTAACCTATCCTATCATAGCAGATTATAGGTCGAGTGTAGATGTTAAGGTTGTAGGAAACTCCTAACCTATCCTATCATAGCAGATTATAGGTCGAGTGTAGATGTTAAGGTTGTAGGAAACTCCTAACCTATCCTATCATAGCAGATTACAGGTCGTGTAGATGTTAAGGTTGTAGGAAACTTCTAACCTATCCTATCATAGCAGATTATAGGTCGAGTGTAGATGTTAAGGTTGTAGGAAACTCCTAACCTATCCTATCATAGCAGATTATAGGTCGTGTAGATGTTATGGTTGTAGGAAACTCCTAACCTATCCTATCATAGCAGATTACAGGTCGTGTAGATGTTATGGTTGTAGGAAACTCCTAACCTATCCTATCATAGCAGATTATAGGTCGTGTAGATGTTATGGTTGTAGGAAACTCCTAACCTATCCTATCATAGCAGATTATAGGTCGTTTAAAGATGTTAAGGATGTAGGAAACTCCTAACCTATCCTATTATGGCATTACTACAAAATGTGTTTATATCAAAGATATTTATTCAAAATATTGATCATTTTTGCAATTAGTTATGCTTAATACTTATCATAGGGGAGGGGAAAGTTTTCAGCCTTTTTCCAAACTTTATAGCATAATAGAAGTGTAAACTTTTCTCCATAAGATGAACTCAAACCTTCCAAATTGTTCTCAGTAATCCAATGTGTCAGTATTTAGAGTTTCTTTTACTTACAGTAGTGTATGTGGTAAATTGATGTATTTAGAATATGCTTAGAGATTATCTACTCACTTTGTGAAGTATTTTTACATTATTTTGTAGAATGTGATAGTTTGTATTATGTAACTCGACAAGGATTCTGTCATGTGCTCACAATTATACTTGCATCCATTGTCATGGTAATAATTATTTTTTCTTTTTCTCATTTTTCTCAAACTATAAAGAAATGAAAAAAAATCCCTTATATACCGATGTTACTATAAGTATTTTGAATACTTTATGTATTTAAAGCCAGACGAACATAACATTATGGAGTCTGGTTCATTTCTCTGGCTCTATTGTGTATGCAGAATTCACTTAATTCCAGAAGTGGGCGTCGAATTCAAAACAGTCTCAGGTCTTAATTTCACAAAGGTCAGAAAGTACCAGTGTTAGGACCACAGTATCAAACAAGGGCATATAACCTGAAAAAATGAGTGGCATTCTAGTACCTTATATCTCTATCTAGTATTCAGCCAGTTAGCCAAAACATTAACACAGAGATGAATTATAATGAGGAAGTACTTGGTCTTTCCACCAGAATTTACTTAGATGTGGATAGATACATATGATGGTACCTAGCCATGATGTCCAACACATTAGTGTCCATGTTAGTTTGTTTCAGTGTTTGAGTGCTAGTCTGTATTAGTGGTATTTATTTTGAATCTTTTTTGACAATTTTCATTGTTTAAAATATGTAATTAACTTATATGTATATGTTTACGTTTTTCATTTATTGAATAGATCATTGTTTATCTAATACATGTATTGAGTTACTTAGTAACGGAAAGGTAGAATGTTTTGTTACAGAATACATATGCTCTCCTTTTGTTTTACTATTTGTAACTTCATTCCATCGATATTTCTGTAGCAGTAAAAGGGAGACATAGTGTGGACCAGCATTTCCTGAATCATCACAATATTTGGTGTCATACTTTGTAGACGTTTGACCTTAAGTGAAAATCACAGTAACCTGATATATTAATACATCAAGGCCTCCTTAAAATTGACATATATGATGTTGGTAGGATGGGTGGAGACTAGCTGATTCTAAGACTTCAAACATGTTGATCTCACAATGGTACAAGCAAATTAAAACTATTTGAAGTAGCTTATGATAAAGATAGACGACACAAGGCAGATAACTCTCCAAAGGAATGAAAAACAAACATTTTGATCATATCAGAGGTCTTTCAAGGGCTTGAATATAAATATGTAGATATCTTCAGTGGTAATTTATCGTTAATATTGATCCCTGCAATTGACTTCTTTGTTACACAGGAGTGTGGATGGTGGTAAGACAAGCTAAGAGTGTAAATGATTGTATTGACACCTGGATGAGTGACTGTTTGTAAGAATTTTTTTGTGTGTGTCAGATGCATACTTACAATTTCCTTGTATTGATTTTGCATGCTTTTTTTTCACGCTTACCTGGTTCCAAGGACCAGAGAGGTTATGGTGCAGCGACTGTCCGTTAACATTACGTAACAGGAGTGTAAATGGTAATTACTGTAACATCTGATTTGGATTTCTTCAAAATCTTTGGTGATGGAGACCCAAATTTGTAAAATCAAGGGATCTTACCCTCCCCAGGAGGCATGGACCCAACATGGGTAATAAATCATTCCCATGTTGATAGATTAAGGAGTTTTTTTCGTCTGATATACCCGCAAGTGACTGAGATTTTTTTCTCTTTTTTTTGGTGGTTTTGTAATTTGGGTCACTTTGGACCTGTAGGACAAGACCAAATATTGACAATGATTTTGTGAAATAATTTTTCAGTTGTCAATTAGGAATTTTTACCAAATTCTGTCAAGCATTCTCTGTAGGTCTCGACTTCAGGGGCTGAGATGTGGTGCCCTATAGGGGGGATAGAACAATTTCAGATAATTTTTTTCATTTTGGCTGAGAAGATTTGGTAAAAAAATTGAGTCTGAAGCATCCTTGAGAGAAGAGGAATATCCTTTGCATTAAGTCTGCTAAATGCAGGTGAGAGATAGAGGCCCTATGGGCCTCTTGTTGGCCTCAGCTTCTTCCATATCATCTGACAAATGTAGTGGATAATTTTTGTCTTTCAAATATATGATTGTAAGAAGTGTCAAGATTGATCTGGATTTGTTGTACAAACCCAGCAATACATAATATTTTGTTTATATGTTTTCTACAGTTTTTGCATTTCTTGTGAGTGATTCCAGACATTGAATATTCTCTATAAAATATTTTGTCTATTTTTCTATTGCTCTATTTAATATTGCTTTCTACTTAAAACATGATTAAATATTCAATAAATCCTGGAAAATTAAGAATTTAAAACATTTTATTAAATACTTCCAGATATACAAACATGTACAGTGTTGTTTTTCTTGGGTAAAGCAATTAAAATCCTCTAAAGTAAAAAGTGTAACAAATGGAATGTAGACAGGGTATTGAAAGTAAATTATTTTCAAGTTACATAACTTTGTTACCCACCTAAACCCCGAAGTTCATGGAATCATTAATTATCAGACTTACATATTCATCAAAACATCAAATACAAAACGCTGATGTATACATTCACCAAACCATTAACTACGAAATGCTGACGTATACATTCACCAAATACGAAATGCTGCGTATACATTCACCAAACCATTAACTACGAAATGCTGATGTATACATTCACCAAACCATTATCTACGAAATGCTGACGTAAACATTCACCAAACCATTATCTACGAAATGCTGACGTAAACATTCACCAAACCATTATCTACGAAATGCTGATTTATACATTCACCAAATACAAAATGCTGACGTATACATTCACCAAACCATTAATTACGAAACGCTGACGTAAACATTCACCAAACCACAAACTACGAAATGCAGACATAAACATTTGCCAAACCATTATCTACAAAATGCTGATGTATTCATTCACCAAACCATTAACTAGGAAATGCTGATGTATTCATTCACCAAACCATTATCTACGAAATGCTGATGTATACATTCACCAAACCATTATCTACGAAATGCTGACAGTCAGAGAACCATTAACCATGAGACAACAATTCACAGATCATGCATCACCTGAATCATAGTAAAGTCTCAACTAAACAATGCTGTATATCTATCTAAATAAGTGCACTGTTACTTAAGCACTGTGGGGAGGTTTAGACTTATTACTGCAATCTTAAATTCGGGCAGACTGCATTTGAATAAGGGCAATGACTTGAGTGCAAAACAAGCTATTATTAGTATACCACTGAAAAAAAAGTATTATAATCCATTTCTATTTTAATCTGTTTCATGGACATATAAATTCACTGATTTAAAAAAAAAAAAAATATGACAATGCTTTGAACCTATTTACATCAAATCTAATCACTTTAAAGTAACTGTAGTTGGAATTATTCTGATGTTCTATCAATTTTATTTATCCACTCCAGGCCAATTAAACAAGTCAATTGAATGTTGGAATAATTCAAACTAAAGTAACTGGGGTAAATTTTTTGAAGGTCTTCAATGCCCCTAACTATACATTATTGCACCACCAGCCTTATAAAAAAAGTTATATCAATACTGGTAAGAGCATCTTGCTGCTGATGCTGCTGCTGATGGTGCTGCTGATGCTGCTGCTGATGGTGCTGCTGCTGACGGTGCTGCTGATGCTGCTGACGGTGCTGCTGATGCTGCTGCTGCTGACGGTGCTGCTGATGGTGCTGCTGCTGCTGATGGTGCTGCTGCTGCTGATGGTGCTGCTGATGGTGCTGCTGCTGCTGATGGTGCTGCTGCTAATGGTGCTGCTGATGGTGCTGCTGATGGTGCTGCTGCTCGTGCTGCTGATGGTGCTGCTGCTGCTGATGGTGCTGCTGATGCTTCTGCTACTGCTGCTGATGGTGCTGGTGCTGCTGATGGTGCTGCTGATGGTGCTGATGGTGCTGCTGGTGGTGGTGCTGCTGGTGGTGCTGCTGGTGGTGGTGGTGCTGATGGTGCTGGTGCTGCTGCTAGTGCTGCTGCTAATGGTGCTGCTGATGGTGCTGCTGCTCGTGCTGATGGTGCTGCTGATGGAGCTGCTGCTGCTGATGGTGCTGATGGTGCTGCTGCTACTGCTGGTGGTGCTGCTGGTGAGCTTGGCAATCATTGATCATTATCAATTATCATAGCTTTTTTTTTTGATTCCACCATTACTGAAGAATCCATTCCAGAAATCATAGTCATGAAAAAAAAACTGAAGGTTGTGTTCAATTTAATGAACTCAACACTTGCAAGATGTTTATATTGAAAAGTTTGATCATGATACCCATACCATTTTCTTCAGATAAGAAAGCTAAAATATCATTAGCATAAAGGTTGATGTAAAAAGTATAAAAATGATAAATGTTACACTTACTAAACAATAAAGAAAAGAAAATTAAAAAAAAAATAAATACAAAACCTAGATTAAAGATAAAAGTTTGACATATCAAAAAAGTTACTGTACAATGTCAGCTACAAAGTATCTCTCAAATAAATCCAAATTTGTGGACATCACTTGTCATTTCTGTTAGAATGTGGTCGATATCTTTGGTAGTGATCTCCCTTGAGGCAAGTTAAAATTGCTGTCACCAGGGGGAATTTGCCTTGGTTACAGTACATACCGCTGAAGTCATCAAGATGAAGTGCCCAGATTCCAACACCCCCTAGGCCTCTCCTGATCACATAATGACACTTGTAAGAGAGAAAAACATAAGTAGTAAAAAATGGAAAAATAGTGTTATCAACTTGATAGCAAGATAAAAATAGAAATCTCATCAAACTCTTCACAAGTATTACATGTATATGTAATTGTGACTGAAATGCTAATGATACCTATGTCCTACAAACTACCCCCATAGTCGTAATTGATGCTGTATGATAGTTGTAGGTGTGTTTCTACTGTCCTTATACATATCTACATATCAGTTTCGTTTAAAGCCACCAGTTTTTAGTTCTGACAAATCAAATCAGACAAGAAAGTGGTAGCCATTTTTCTTAATCTGTCGACGTATACATCACCCATATGTTGTTAGTGTCATTACTGACAATGTTACTAGATATCAGAATTTCATCAAGATCATATAAAATCTATATTTCAACCAATCAGAGGCCAGCAAATGATGATAATTTTCTCATGTCAGAAAATGGATATCTGTTATCTCTCGTAAAAGTCACAAGACATACAGAGAATGATGGACCAATTTACCTCTGTAGGTGATTTAGAAATCACATATTAATGTTATCTCTCGTAAAAGTCACAAGACATACAGAGAATGATGGACCAATTTACCTCTGTAGGTGATTTAGAAATCACATATTAATGTTATCTCTCGTAAAAGTCACAAGACATACAGAGAATGATGGACCAATTTACCTCTGTAGGTGATTTAGAAATCACATATTAATGTTATCTCTCGTAAAAGTCACAAGACATACAGAGAATGATGGACCAATTTACCTCTGTAGGTGATTTAGAAATCACATATTAATGTTATCTCTCGTAAAAGTCACAAGACATACAGAGAATGATGGACCAATTTACCTCTGTAGGTGATTTAGAAATCACATATTAATGTTATCTCTCGTAAAAGTCACAAGACATACAGAGAATGATGGACCAATTTACCTCTGTAGGTGATTTAGAAATCACATATTAATGTTATCTCTCGTAAAAGTCACAAGACATACAGAGAATGATGGACCAATTTACCTCTGTAGGTGATTTAGAAATCACATATTAATGTTATCTCTCGTAAAAGTCACAAGACATACAGAGAATGATGGACCAATTTACCTCTGTAGGTGATTTAGAAACCACATATTAATGTTATCTCTCATAAAAGTCACAAGACATACAGAGAATGATGGAACAATTTACCTATGTAGGTAATAAATGTAGACATCACATATGTTAATAAAGTCAATGTGAAAACAACTGCCATTAATAAGAAATCAAAGCAAAAGCTATTTTCAAAATAAATATTTTCTGTGCGTTTCAGGTAAAAGAGCAACAATACCCTACATTGCACAGAATCACCTGACTATACACATATATACATTAAGACTATAATACACTTTGATTCTAACCTTGTTGGTACTGCTCCTTACATCATCATATGATGCCCAAGTCTTTCCAGCAAAAAGGTACGGAACCTCTGACTGATTGTCCCAAACACTTGTTGATCTTTGGGATCTCAATACTTTACACACCTGTAAATAAACACTACACCTGTAAATATCAGATACAGAACCAACACACCTGTAAATATTGAATACATAACCAACACACCAGAAAATATCAGATGCAAAACCAACACACCTGTAAATATTGAATACATCACAGACACACCTGTAAATATCAGATACATAAGCAATGCACCTGTAAATATCAGATACAGAACCAACACACCTGTAAATATCAGATACAGAACCAACACACCTGTAAATATCAGATACATAAGCAATGCACCTGTAAATATCAGATACTTAACCAACACACCTGTAAATATCAGATACTTAACCAACACATCTGTAAATATCAGATACATAACCAACAAACCTGTAAATATCAGATACATAACCAACACACCTGTAAATATCAGATACATAACCAACAAACCTGTAAATATCAGATACATAACCAACAAACCTGTAAATATCAGATACATAACCAACAAACCTGTAAATATCAGATACTTAACCAAACATCTGTAAATATCAGATGCATAACCAACACACCTGTAAATATCAGATACATAACCAACACATCTGTAAATATCAGATACATAACCAACAAACCTGTAAATATCAGATACAGAACCAACACACCTGTAAATATCAGATACATAACCAACACATCTGTAAATATCATATACATAACCAACACACCTGTAAATATCAGATACAGAACCAACACACCTGTAAATATCAGATACATAACCAACACACCTGTAAATATCTGATGCATAACCAACACACCTCTAAATATCAGATACATAACCAACACACCTCTAAATATCAGATACATAACCAACACACCTGTAAATATCAGATATATAACCAACACACCTCTAAATATCAGATATATAACCAACACACCTGTAAATATCAGATACATAACCAACACACCTGTAAATATCAGATATATAACCAACACACCTCTAAATATCAGATATATAACCAACACACCTCTAAATATCAGATACATAACCAACACACCTGTAAATATCAGATACATAACCAACACACCTCTAAATATCAGATACATAACCAACACACCTGTAAATATCAGATACATAACCAACACACCTGTAAATATCAGATACATAACCAACACACCTGTAAATATCAGATACATAACCAACACACCTGTAAATATCAGATACATAACCAACACACCTCTAAATATCAGATACATAACCAACACACCTGTAAATATCAGATACATAACCAACACACCTGTAAATATCAGATACATAACCAACACACCTGTAAATATCAGATACATAACCAACACACCTGTAAATATCAGATACATAACCAACACACCTGTAAATATCAGATACATAACCAACACACCTGTAAATATCAGATACATACCCAAGACACCTCTAAATATCAGATACATAACCAACACACCTGTAAATATCAGATACATACCCAAGACACCTCTAAATATCAGATACATAACCAACACACCTGTAAATATCAGATACATATTCAACACATCTGTAAATATCAGATACATAACCAGTACACATGTAAATATCAGATACATAACCAACACACCTGGAAATATCAGATACATAACAACCAACACGCATGTTAATATCAGATACATAACCGATACACCTGTAAATATCCGATACAGAACCAACACACCTGTAAATATCAGATGCATAACCAACACAACTGTAAATATCAGAGCATAACCAACACACCTGTAAATATCAGATGCATAACCAACACACCTGTAAATATCAGATGCATAACCAACACACCTGTAAATATCAGATACATAAGCAATGCACCTGTAAATATCAGATACTTAACCAACACACCTGTAAATATCAGATACAGAACCAACACACCTGTAAATATCAGATACATAAGCAATGCACCTGTAAATATCAGATACTTAACCAACACACCTGTAAATATCAGATACTTAACCAACACATCTGTAAATATCAGATACATAACCAACAAACCTGTAAATATCAGATACATAACCAACACACCTGTAAATATCAGATACATAACCAACAAACCTGTAAATATCAGATACATAACCAACAAACCTGTAAATATCAGATACATAACCAACAAACCTGTAAATATCAGATACTTAACCAACACATCTGTAAATATCAGATGCATAACCAACACACCTGTAAATATCAGATACATAACCAACACATCTGTAAATATCAGATACATAACCAACAAACCTGTAAATATCAGATACAGAACCAACACACCTGTAAATATCAGATACATAACCAACACATCTGTAAATATCATATACATAACCAACACACCTGTAAATATCAGATACAGAACCAACACACCTGTAAATATCAGATACATAACCAACACACCTCTAAATATCTGATGCATAACCAACACACCTCTAAATATCAGATACATAACCAACACACCTCTAAATATCAGATACATAACCAACACACCTGTAAATATCAGATATATAACCAACACACCTCTAAATATCAGATATATAACCAACACACCTGTAAATATCAGATACATAACCAACACACCTGTAAATATCAGATATATAACCAACACACCTCTAAATATCAGATATATAACCAACACACCTCTAAATATCAGATACATAACCAACACACCTGTAAATATCAGATACATAACCAACACACCTCTAAATATCAGATACATAACCAACACACCTGTAAATATCAGATACATAACCAACACACCTGTAAATATCAGATACATAACCAACACACCTGTAAATATCAGATACATAACCAACACACCTGTAAATATCAGATACATAACCAACACACCTGTAAATATCAGATACATAACCAACACACCTGTAAATATCAGATACATAACCAACACACCTGTAAATATCAGATACATACCCAAGACACCTCTAAATATCAGATACATAACCAACACACCTGTAAATATCAGATACATAACCAACACACCTGTAAATATTGGATACATAACCAACACACCTGTAAATATAAGATACATAATCAACACACCTGTAAATATCAGATACATA